GAAGGAAGGAAGGAAGGAAGGAAGGAAGGAAGGAAGGAAGGAAGGAAAACCTACATTGTGAGGAGCAGATAAAGCCCCCTGGGTAAATGTATATTGTTGACATGGACCCCAATGCCTCATACCTACAGGCAAAGTCTTCCTTTTATTCAAGCATGTGTGTTGAGATGCGCAAGACACAGCACTGCTGAGTTACAACAGCTGGAGAGATGAAGCAGTGGGTATCCCAGCAACTACATCATAAACTGGGTGCCTGCACTTATAATGCCAGCATGTGAGGACAGAGAAAGAAGTCCTGTCTGGGCTTGATAATAGGAAGTGCAGAGACAGGAGGATTCTTGGAGTTTTACTGGCTACCAGCCTAGCTGGAAAGCACAAGCTCAGGGTTCAAAGAGAGACCCTGCCTTGAAGGAATAAGTTGAAGAAGATAGAGGTTGAGACTCAACACCCTCCTCTGGCCTCCAAGAATACCTGTAAATGAACACATATGCATATATACCACATATATGCACACAGACACACAGGATATTTTTAAGCTACCTAGTTACAAAGAAACTGTGATTGAAAAGGAGGTATTCGGAGTGTGGAGGGAGCTTCAGAGGACAATAAGCTTGCATTAGACAGCCCTGGGAGGAACTCGACCTCACTAAGATATGCACCACACTCGCAGAGTAGAGCAAGCCAGGCACTCATACTTAGAATTGTCACCCGCACTAACTGATTCATGTCTCCTGTCCTTTCTCTGAAAGACAGTGTGTTGCTGTTATTGTAGCCTTACCTCACTGGCATGTGAGGTCTGAGGTATGAAGGGCAGAGAGTTAAGGGAAGGTAGACCTGGTAAGCTGTATTTAAGGAGCATCATCCACACCTGGACCAGTTCCCAACCACAGGCTCCTGCTCTCGATTCCGTTACTTTAGCATATAGCAATGAGGGAAGTGTCTTGAAAGCAAGGACTTTTGAAGTCTTACTCTCGCTGTTGCGTCCCAAACACTAAGAATGATGATAGACTTAACAATAGTCTTTGGCTTGAGGATTTAAATTCTTCCATCATTGTGTGTGTGTGTGTGTGTGTGTGTGTTGTTGTTGTTGTTGTTGTTGTTGTTGTTGTGATATGTTATCAGATAAGTGTAGTTTTCATTTTTGTTTTTAATGAAAATTAAAAAAGCAATGTGATCTAAGCAGGGAGAAGGACTGGAAAGGGGGTCTGGGAAGATGAAACTGAGTCTCCCAGAGGTGGAGCGGCTCCTGATCACATCGATTTCCCCTTCTCCCAAGACATCCAACCCTTCCTGCTGCAGCGCCTGCCTTGCCATTTCTCCCTCAGATGAAGAAATGCTCACTGAGTGGTCCTGTCAGACAGAGCAAGAGGCCATATTGGAGTCAGCATCTTCCTGGAACCAGTGGTCAGTGTCCTGCTGTCCCCCAGAGGACACCATGCCCGGGAACAAGTCATTGCATGAGAAGAAAAAGCAAACAGCCAGGATTTAATACTGGACCCTGAAGAAGTGGACCCTGAATTGCCAGGATTCACTGAGTGGCCCAGACTGGCCTTGTATGGCAATCCTCCTGCTTCAACTTCCTCACCGTGTCCAGCTCGTAGTTCTTCATTCATTGCCCTTGGTCCTCGCAAGCCCATTAGTGTTGGGAATGAATGATATGTAACTCAATGGAGAATCTGATGATTCTGGGAACCCCTTTTCCAAACTGTTCCCAAATAAATTCTTGACATTAGGAGGGGAAAAAGAGGGAGCTAAGGAATCATCCTTACAGAGAGGTATAACCTCGGTGTGAATCCAGCCACGTACTCAGAGAAGCTTGAGGACTGCAAGAACTCCTTCAAGGCACCTACAAGACCCACTGGGTCCTGAAGCATGAGATTCCATTACTATTGTCTTCATACTCATAGCTATAGCATTATAACTGGTCATAAAGTTATCTAGCACTTTCTACTTCACCCATTGATTAAATCTGTACTTTCTCTAGAAAAATCCCACAAGTTGGCCACACATTGGATAGAAACTAATTTCCTCATGCTTTTTTTTTCTTATTCTAAATTTTTATCAGCCATTAATTTGCAGAATGAGTGACTCTTGACTTAATATTGGAAGACACAAAATTAAGTAAATTGAGCCCGCAATAAGGCTGTCATTTTAGCAATTTTGTAACATCCCATTTATCGTGTAATTATGTGGGTGCATTAGAATATGAATAGCTAGTTATTTCCTATTTCTACTTTTATAGTAGCAGGATGATAAAGAAATTTCAGGTTAAAGAGGAAAGAAAGAAGGCAAACTATCAAGAGATGTTAAGAGCATCTGAACTGTGGGCTGACGATTATTCTGGTTTGAATTTTTAAAATTGTTGTGATCTAAGAAAATAAGAAAAAGAAAATTGATTCAATAGGCTTTAAAACCGAAGTTTTCCTGGCTAACTCTAACATTTGACTACTTTTGCCCTTCAGGTTAGCAGCAAATGAATGAGGAAGGATTTACTCTTGACAGAATCTTATTCTTAAGAATAAGGCTGTCTTTGGAGCTATTAACAGAGTATTCTCTCATATAATTACTGTGCAGGATTTGTGTGTCTGTGTGCCATTTTTCAGCATGCAGTCCATTTCATTAAAATGTGTAAGATCAGCTAGCGTGGGCTGTTTGGTGCCTGCTGAGTGATTAATCAGCTTGGGAGCCTCGGTAGGATTAAGTCTTGGAATAAACAAGGATTATTTATTTATTTATTTATTTTTATTTAGCTTCAGTAATTCAGAAGATCTTTCCTGGCTGCACTGAAACAGTTTTGGTATATGAACAGACAAGCCTCTATCACACAAGGTTAGGCTCCCCACGAAGTCTTTCAAACACCGAGAGAGAAGTGGTGGGCATCCTGGGAGTAAAGCAATGCAGTAGTTGGCCCATCTTAGTTCCCTTTCTGTTGCTGTAATAAGATACTCTGATATCATCACCTGGGGAAGGGAGGGTTTGCTTTGGCTCCTGTTGGGGAAACCACAGCCCAGAAGCTTGAGGCCATTAGTTACTTTGTATCCACAGTCAAGAAGCACAGAGTGAAGCTTTGGAGATGGCTCAGCCTTTAGGAGCACGAACTGTTCTTCTAGAGGACCAGTTTGATTCCTGCCCCACTGTGGCAGCTCACAACTGGCTATAACTCCAGCCCCAGGGGTCCAACACCCTCTATTGGTTCCCATGGGCACCTGCACACATGTGACACACACTCACACAGATACACACACATACATAAAAAGTAATAATCTCTGAAAGAAGCACAGAATGAAGAATGTTAATACTCAGTTTACTTTCTCACTTCTTAAAACCTTATCTGTGTGCATGTGTGTGTGTGTGCATTTATGGGTGTATGTTGTGTGAGAGGGAGAGAGGAAAAGAGAGCCAGCAAGAAAGACATTGGGGGGGGGGTCCTCCATCTGGCCACTGCGTAATCCCCTTGTTTCTGCCTTGCATCTCATCTTTTGGAGAAGCCCAGAGTTACAGATGGCCACAGCTGCATCCAGCTTTTCACATGAACTCCAAGAGCTCAGGCTGTAAGGCTTCTCCCTGCTTAGTCACCTTCTGGCCCCACTCTCCCCATAGAAGAGTCCAAACTCCCCACCCAGGGAATGATCCCACCCACACTTAAGATGGGTCTTTCCTCATCTGTTAACCTCGTCAAGACAGTCCCTCAGTGTATCTGCAAGTGAGTCTCCCAGGTAACTCCAGAGCTGTCAAGTTCCAATCATCACTAGCTCCCACACGACCTGTTTTTATTTTAGGGAAAGAAAGCCATGCTTACTAACAAACAAAACAACTAATATTATAAATTATAATATGCTCTCTATTCCTAAATATGCTGGCGCGCACACACACACACGTTAGGAAAATCATCATAATTGGAAAGGAATTTGTTCCAAGTAGTACAACTTGAACATTTCTCAAAAGAGGAAATAAAAATAAAAACTAGAGAAGTGATGTGTTCAACATAACAGCTACCCAGAAAGATGTACAGTGGCTCTGACTTTCACTGGCAGTCAACAATTCTCCCAGGTCATAACATGTTAAAGAGAAGAGCCCTCTGGCATGTGAAGAAAGACTGGTCACTCTGAGATCTCTGAGACATTGTTTTATCAAGCCCCAGGATCCTGCAATTTCTTCAGCAATCTGCAACACTAGGAAGAATGAGATTAGGCATGACCAACACGAAAGGCAACTTCCAAATATACAAGGAAAGGGTTGCAGTCGCCTTTCCTGCCATGAACTTCCTGCTGACTATAGTAACTAAAGCCTTTCAGTAAGGCTGGCCAGCCAGTTCAGCCAGTGTGCATGTTTGCCACCAAGGCTGATGACCTGAGTGTGACCCCCAGGACCTACATGGTGGAAAAAGAGCACCAACTCCTGGAAGCTGTCCTCTGGCCTCCACACGTGTGCCACGGCCCATAGGAGCCTACATGTACTGGAGCACACATGCACACAGGTCAGTCTAATAAATTTCTTAAGGATCACTTAAAAACACTTTCAGTAGCACAGCCTTGGACTTGTAGGACATTGTTCCTGGCTCTGCTGAGCTATATACACTGAGATATCATTTTCTTAAACACATTATTCCTGTTTTCTTTGTATTGTGGCATGTGATTGCAATTTTTGGGCCACATATTATGGGTCTGGCAAGTAGCAAAGAATGATGCCACTGTTGCTTCAACTACTACTAATTCCCTATTCTTTGGAAATATGTTTATGCTTGTGGGTGATTCTGTCACAGGCAGTATGTTGTAATGAGTATATTTATGAGTCCAGCCATTGTGAGTGGGAACTGATGCGGTCTTGTACCTCGTGTGCTGCTGAGTTATTACACAGATCCGAACAGCCAAGATGTCTGTGATCAGAGGAGGAAAAGGAATTTTCAAACATAAAACATGTTCTTGGCATTAGCCTGGAACAGTGGACATTCATAACCCACAAATGCCCGGGCTATAAATTTGCAAGGTTGCATTAATATGGCAGTAAAAGTCATTCTTCTGAAAGCTGCACTTGTAAAAATTTTATAAATTCACATGGTTGTTCCTGGCAAAGAACTACATCTGTCAACTCTGTCTTTCTGCTCACAAAACAGTGGGGTTGGTGTCTCGTGTAGTTCACAATGTGTTCATAAAATTTTTTTGGGAAAAATCGGGATGGAAGGAACTCCACTCCTGGGGTGCTAACCCTGCCCCTCCTGTGGCTTGGTGTTAGCGTTCAGTCTCCTGAGAGCCTTTCTCATCAAGGCCTCTTCTCTGCATAAATTTCGTTTTATTGGACTTATCTAGTTCCCAAATTAGCAAAGCAAGTCCTGTGGGGTTGTCTTTAAAATCCCACATTAATATGTACAACACAGCGGAGCTCTTCAGCCCCTAGGTCAATACGTATCCACGTCACGTGGTCCGGGAATTGTCTGTGGCTGTCTTCTCCTACAGCGTTCGGAATGCACACCGTATTGGGGACTCTCAGGCAGATTTGCCAAACTTATGCCTTCCTACGAGAGAAATAGAAAAGAGAAATGACATCAGATTCCATTTTCCCATAGAAGTGTGCCATCTGCTGTCACTGCCACCCGTCCCTTAGTTTTCGGGCAGTGGTTCTCAACCTTCCTAACGCTGCAGGTCTTTGATACAGTTCCTTATGTTGTGATGACCCCCAACCACAAAATTATTTCATTGCTACTTCCTAACTGCAATTTTGCTATGTTATGAATTGTAATGTAGTATCTGATATGCAGAAAATCTGATACGAGACCCCTGTGAGAGGATCCTTCAACTCCCAACGGGGTCACGACCCACAGGTAGAGAACCAGTGTTTGGGGAGGAGGGAGACTCTATAGAATCACTTTAAAATTGTATTAGACTTATTTGTCTACTTATTTAGGGTGCATATTATGTGGCTGTGGAGTTCAGAGGACAACTTATAGGTGTAGATTATCTCCTTCCACCATACAGGCCCTGGGCACCGATCTCCAAAGTTGCCAGTCTTGGGCGCAAGCGCCTTTACCTGCTGAGCCACTTGGTCAACTCCAAAGTCAGTTCCAATAACAGACTGAGTGCATAACAACAAGAAGTGTCAATATATTTACCTTTGTAATACTGTTTTCTCGGAGGCCTATGTCCAGCCCAGGACTTCACACATGCACACCAGGCAGCTGTATTACAACAAAGCCGTCCCGAGACTGAACAGATATGTTCTGTTGCTGTTTTGGTTTGGTCTGAATTGCGTTGTTGCTGCCATATAGTTTTTCCTTGCTATTCCATGTTGTAGATAGGTTTCTGTTGGGGTCAAACACTAGCCAAAAGCAGTTTGTGGAGGAGTTTGTTTCATCTCACACTTCCAGAAGGAAGAGTGTATTTGGGCTCACTCCTTCCCCAGAAGACGCCAGTGAGTATACACACACACACACACACACACACACACACACTGAGTTTTCAGGCAAACTCAGAAATTCATATAGCACCAACCATTCCATAGACCATCACAGAAGGATGGGGTAGGAATACAGATCAGGAAAAGGGGGCAGGGGCTTGACAGAATCACAAAGCAGGAAGTTTAGTTATTTTCTCTGTAGCCAAAGCAGCAGCAAGAATTTCACAAAAGATATAAATCCCAACATTTAACAGAGAGACGCACTGGGTTGTCAGGAGACGTGTTTCAAAAGGCTATTGGATGGATGCATTTCTGATGAATTATTTAATATTCAGTGAGCAATGCCTTTAACAGTAGCTTTGCAAAGGTCAAAGCTATCTTTCATATGACTATTTTCACATTGTTCCCTTAATAAATACTGAAGCTCTCCTTACTAAGTGGCGATTTTTATGAGTAGTTATATCAACGGAGCCTAGACAGACTGGTTTTGTGTATGACCTGAGATAATAGGAAATGATCCCCCTTCAGAGAGACCACCACAATTCCTAAGGCACAATGTGCCTGCAAAGGCCCGCCCGTGCGCTCTACAACCAAGAAGCTGCAATATCAGACAAAGCTCCACTCTGCAGATGAGGCACCTCAGACCCCAGACCCTCACATGTCCAGAAGATGACTAGCAAGTCCCCAAGAAATATATGAACCTAATTAACAAAAAAAAGGGGAACTACAAATAGGTTAACTTCTTGATTTCTGCACTCTGTCGACAGTCCCATCTTATGACTCAGCTTTCTCCATTCATCGTGCCTGAAAGGACGCATTCACACAGGATAGCGACACTGACTCTATAACAAGAGTCCATCCCCGAAGAGCAGGAACTGGCCACTGAAACCTAAAGCTATATAACGAAGAGTATTGTTGCAGAGTAAACGGGTCATCAGAAGCAGAGTGAGGTGGCTCACATCTGTGAGCCCAGCACTTGGAAGGTGACGGTAGGCAGATCAGGAGTTTAAGGTCTTCCTTAGCCACAGAAGTTCAAGACCAGTCAGAGCTGCATGAGATTCTACCTCCCCCACCAACAAACACAAAAACAAGCATGCAAACAAAAAAACAGTATTATCAGAAATATACAGGATGCCTAATTGTGTTGTTCTATTAAAGGCTTTCTGGTGATCACTATCCCAAGTCATACACGACTACATTTTTTTTTAAAGACAACTGTTATGCAAGCTTTCCTATGGCACAGGGGAATGCTGCATTCCGAAGACAGCAGAACATCATTTCTCTTTGAGATGTTTATGACAGAAAGACCTGGAACCATCTGTCTAAATAATGTCAAAAGAG